GAAACGGTTACGGAAAAGATGCAATCAACCCGCATAATAAGGATGGGCAACCTTCCCAAGGGTGACCTTGCATTCATGCCCGTTCGGTCCATCCTTGGCCGCTTTCGCTGGCCGCGCCCCGCTCGCAAGGTGTCGACATGGCCTTTCCAAGGCCCTTGCATCCTTACCGCGCATCCTTGTGATACGGGCTGGCTGTATCCATCGTCGTTCTCCGCACCCTCCCTCCCCCCACGCTCCTCCTTCCTCGCCCCCCCCCGCCCCCCACGGCTGACATAGGAGCCCCCCGCCCCCCGCAGAGCACAGCTCAGCTGACCGTGCCGTCCGAGGTCGTAACCCACCTGCCGACGCCCCCCCACCCGCCCCCCTCCCACCACCCCCTTCAGGAGAGGAGGAGAAGGAGGAGCAGGACGCAGCAGGAGCAGGAGGAGGATGAGGAGGAGGAGGAGGAGGAGGAGGAGCAGGAGGAGGAGGAGGAGCAGGAGGAGGAGGAGGAGGAGGAGGAGCAGGAGGCACCGATGCCACTGCCCTTCCGTTGAATTGCCCCCCGACCGCCGCGGCTGCATCCTCCCCGGAGTCCGGGGTACCCCCCCGCCCTTCTCGAGGGAGGGGGGGCGGCACCACCGCCACCGGGGGGGTGGCGGCCTTCAGCGAGGAGATCCACGACGCCTCCCCGAGCTGGGGACGCAGGGGACGCCTCGAGCGAGGGAGGGCGGAACACGCCCCACCAGGTAGTGCTGGCCAGCTTGTGGCCATACCAGGTCCAGCACTGTAACACACACACACACACACACTCACACACACACACACTGCTCCATGAACTTGAGGCCGAACTCCAGTCGCCCCGGAACTGCAAGTCCAGCATATCAGCCACATGCGGAGGCACCAGGGGGCTCAGGGGCATACCCACGGAGGTCTCGAAATAGTCATAATCCTGCTGCCCTGCTCCTCCTTGACGCCTCGCGCTAATGGTGGTGGTGTCGCCTGTCCTCGTTCTTACGATGCGGGCACACTGCTGCCCCCCCCCCCGTGCCGCGCAGATGCGCGGGGCAGCTTTTTCCCCACGTCCTGGGTGGGGCTCTTCTTTTTTCTGGACGCCCCGCGCAGTGCTTCTCCTCCTCCCCCTCTCCTCTTCTCCCCTCGTACCACGGGAGCCCCATCTGTGAGTGAATTGCGAAGATGTCTCCGGGCGCGGGAGCCCCCTCCCTATGGGACCCGCAGGTCATGTTTTCAGTCCGAGCGGATCATCCGATAGATGTAGTTGTCGTAATTCTCGGGCCCCTGAGCCTTGAATCTGGAGGAGCTCTCGTGCGGGAGCCTCGTCCGTGATCGAAAGGCGAGGAAGTCTCAGGCGGGGGGCCCCCTCTCTGTGGGGCCCGCAGATCATTTTATGAATCCGAGCTGGCCATGCGAGTCCTGTAACAGTCGTCACGCTCGGGCACAGGAGCCTTGAATCTGGAGGAAGTCTTCTCGTTCGTCCGTGAGTAAACTGTGAGAATGTTTCGGGCGGGAGCACCCCCACCCACCCTATGGGGCCCACCGATCACGACATTATTCCGATTCTTGTAATTGTCGTCACTTTCAGGCCCCTGAGCCTTGAATCTGGAGGAGCTCTCGTGCGGGAGCTTCAAGCGTGAGTCAAATGCGAGGAAGTCTCAGGCGGGAGCCCCCTCCTGTGGGGCCCGCAGATCATGTTATCAATCCTAGCGGGTTACCCGAATCCTTTTTACAGTCGTCACGTTCGGGCTTGCGCCAGAGCGAGAAGAAGAAAGACGCTCAGGAAACAGCTAGGGCGCCTCACCAATCACGAGGACGACGATGAGTGTTGTTTCCGGATTAGCCGAGCGGATTCTCAGGCGGGATCGTATTGTCGGAACAATTTTTGACCAGACAATTCCCAATCATCATGTGGAGTTGGGTCCTCGTCTTGAAGGGACAGTGCCCCTCCCCCGTTCCCCCCTTCCATGACCATCATCGTCATCGCCATCACCATCATCATCATCACCATCAGCATCAGCAGCATCATCATCAGCAGTATCATCATAATCACTGTCATCGTCATCGTCATCGTCACCAGCATCACCATCACCATCACCAACATCAGCATCATCATCATCAGCGGCAGCAGCATCATCATCATCATCATCATCATCATCATCATCATCATCATCATTATCATCATCAGCGTCATCATCACTGCCATCATCACCAGCATCAGCATCATGATCATCACCACCACCAGCCGTAGCTAGTTCGGCTCAAGCTCGAACAGTACGTCCCTGGCGCTTCGAGCTTGGACTCTGCCGAGGGGGGCGGCTCGAGCGCCAGGAGTTGCTCCGCAGTTGCACGTGTCAGCTTCCCGGACCGCCCGAGGCTCAACTTGCTGACACAGCGTGTCAGCCACGCATGTTCTCTGGTCTCTCGGTTCTCGCGATGGCGTTGGGGGCTCCATTGGCCGTGGGCATGTCCCAGCAGCTCAAGCAGATGATAAGGGAAGATGCAGATGCAGCAGCAGGCCATCCACGACCATGCCGTAGCGACTGATGCAGCGGTGGCAGAGCTCAGCGAATGTGCACTTACCGTAGGAAGATGTTGCAAGAGCGCTTCGAAAACATTATCAATTCGAAGTACAACGAGTGCCTCGATGAGGTGACCAAGCTGCGCCGCATCATGGACGGTAAAGGTAGCACGCGCAGGGGCACATCCAGTTCAACCCCATCTACTGCGAGTACTTCGGCCACGCGCTCTCGAGGGCAGGAAGCAGACCCAAGCCGACCCCACGAATCGGGATTCCCCTACAGGGTGCTGAGGGCGGTGTTCGTCGTTCACTGCGAGATTATGAAGGCCTCCCTCGGCGACGACGCGAAGAAGGCCATCATCATAGCGCACACTTTGTCAATGAGCTATTCCTTGGTTTTCCCAGCCGCGATGCGCCCAGCAGCGTTTGTTTCACGACTTGGCCGATGCAGACGAATCTCTGGCTCGATCGCACAACCATTGCATTTTACCGGGTCGCTCTTCGTCATGATCAGTCGTCCCCAGTTTCGCTAGAAGAAGAGGCGGGTGTCGCCGGTGTTGGAGCCCACCAAGGCCTGCCTCAACACGTGCGGCCACATCGAGGGAGGTACGCTCGGAGTCAATCCGCGCCTCGGCATCCTAGTCGCGAGGGTCGGCCAGGGGCTCGAGGCGAGTGCGCATGACCTTGTCGAGTTACAGAGTTTACGCTGGGCAAGGATGTTGCCCCGTACTGCGACAGTCTGCGTTGGTTCGGCCTCACGGACATGCAGATCGCAGGGCTCGTCGAGCTCGTCTCGTTGCATCTTCCACCAATCCTACGCGATCAAGCAGAGCCTGCGGAGGATCCGCAATCGCACTAGCGTGAGATATCTCCCGCTTCTCCCTCTAGCGCAACAGACAGAGCCCCTTTTCCCAGTGCGGCGACGCTGGGCCCGACCCCTCTTCTGCGCCCGTTCGTCTCTCGCCTTCCCTTCCAAGTTCGAAGTTCAGCGCCGCCACATGGAACGCCGCCGGCCTTTTTGGGATGTGTCTTCGGTAATCACTGGAAGTAGCTTGCTCGATACAGGACCCTAGGAAACCTCCTCGGGAGGAAAGATATCGTTTGAACTCAGGAGACACATGGGTCCGAGGTTGATTTGCAATATGTGTGTATATAAAGGGACGTTTTGCGTGAGTCCAGTTTTTAGGGGAGCTGCTGCGCCGAAAACATCGCAGGGGGCGTCGCAATTGATATGTGGCGTAGCAATCGTGCGTTACTTGAACCTGCTAGGCCCGTGGTCATAGCGGAGGGGAGGATCATGATGTTGAACGCGCAGGTGACCAATGTCCGTACGCATGTAATTTACATCCACATGCGTCCGCGCCACCCATGCCGGCACACCATTCACACGTTCCGTGGCCCTGCAGGGACTCCACCGATGGTCCCAGTGGCGCAGTGGTACACGCGCTTCGTGGCCACAAAGAAAAACCCACCGAAAATCCCAATGGCGCAGCCCGCATGCGTCCCGCCACGAATTTCGGCACACCCCTCACGCGTTCATGTCCCCATAGAGAGCTGCACCGCGGTACCTTGGTGGCGGTGTTCGCATGCGTCCCCGCCACACATTTCGGCACAGCCCTCACGTTTCGTGGCCGCGCATGGAGGCATCATTCACGAGTTTCGCACCTGTCCAGACTTTCTCGGAAACTCTTACCCGCGGCACATTTGCGGGGTCCGCATGCGGTCACCCGGATGGCGCCGATCAAGGTCCGCAGTGAGCACCACGATTATTTCGACACGCGCGCAGATGGTTCCCTTCAGGTGTGGGTTTCGCAACCCACCATGCGGTCAAACTTCTTCGATACCCTGTCCCAGATGGCGGACACGCTTCATGGCCCCATAAGGAGATTCCCCGAGGCCTGCTCACACAGGCGTCAAGAGATCCCCCGAAGGTGTGCTCGCACAGACGTCATTCACAAATGCATGTGGTTGGGTCTTTCGCCAAGACTTTTTTCGGTTCCCCGAAAAAAAATCCGTCCCTGTTTCCGATTCGCATGTCGCTAGAGGGTTGTAAGAGTGGTGACAGGAGTACAGAAGAGTCCAGGAGGGGCGGTGAGGCCAATACCGCCCCACTAGATCGCCTGGTCCAGCACCCGTCTCGCCTGAGATTTCCGCACGACTTATTCAGGGGCCGTGCTCTCGCCACAAAGTTGCTTACATGCTTGGTCCACATGGCCACGATTTCGGGCAGCAAATACACTGCGGTGCTCATGGGTGTGCTCTCACCCTTGTCTTGGTTTGATCTTCTCCATGAGCCTTTAGGAATACATGGGAACGCACGTGTTCACACTGCGACCTCTTACTCCTCGACCCGCCCTTTCACTTTCCTTGATATTCGGGTGTTTTGCCGGGTCCGGCTCACAAGTTTTATGAGACACGGGAATATGCTCGATCCCTGCCGCGCAGAGAGCCCAGCCGCGCCGCAGGAGGGCCCGCGCGCCCGGCCATGGCCGAGGAGGGCGGCGGGGAGGACCGGCGGGCGACGGCGAACGCGCGTTTCTGGCTTCGCCGCTGCCACCGCCGCCGCCGTTGGGCACAGCCGCTGCAGGCGTGGTCGCCGTCCTCCTCATCGTCCTCCTCCTCCTCGTCCTATTCCTCGTCTTCCTCGTCCTCCTCTTCCTCCTCCTTTTCCTCCTCCTCCTCCTCCTCCTCCTCCAGGAGGGGCGCACTTGCTGCTCCAACCGAAAGGAGCCCCGTGGAAAAGAGAAAGGGCATCGACGACGAAGGGACGACACGACAGAAGCTGCCTGACGGGGGACGAAAGGGAAAGGGGGGGGGGCCCGCCGACCGCCGCCGCTGCCGGCGTGGTCGCCGCGATCTGCCACCGCCAGAGGGGGCACACAACAACGTCCAACTCAATGGCGTTGGTTCGAAAAAATTGCATGCGTTGCGCGGGGTGGGTGGGTGCGACAGGTTGTATCCTGGGACCTGAGTCAACATGTAGAGCTGTTGTAAGCGTTGAGCAAAATTCAACGACCAAAGCGCCGTTGGATTGAAGAAATAGCATATGTCTTTTCATCTTTTCACTTTTTATTCCCACACGCGAAGAAACTTGAATGTCGGAAGAGGAGAACGCTTTTGTCAGCGGCTGTGAGGCGCAAGACACACGTGATGCTCATACATTCACACCTCGGGGGCGGAGATTCGGTGAGGAGGAACCAACGTCTCACCCAATCGATTGCACAGTCAATCTCACTATCGATCTCACTATCGATCTGACTGTCGATCTCACTCTCGAAATTGAGAGTTCCCCACCGGAAAATCGGTGTCGGTTTCGCGTTCGTGTCGTGCAAGCGGGCGAGGCGAAGTTGCGGGGGCGGGCGAGTGGAATGAACCTCTTGTAGCTAGAGCGCCGCCGAGCCAAACCCCCCCCCCGGGTTTGTGCCGACAGTGTCCTGTCAGTGTTCCGTATTGAGACCGATTGTGAGTTCGACAGTGAAATTGACAGTAAGATAGATCGTGTGATCGATAGTGAGGTTGGTAGTTAGACAAATACATAGTAAGATCGTTGGTTGGATCGATAGTTGAGATCGATAATAAGATCGATGGTGAGATCACTAGTGAGATCGATAGTGAGGTCGATAGTGAGGTCGATCGTGGGATCGACAGTGCGATCGATCGTGGGAGGTATAGTGAGAGGTATAGTGAGATCGACTGTGTGATCGATTATGAGATCGATCGTGAGATTGATAGCGAGATTGGTCGAGTGAGATCGGTTGTGATATCGACAGTGAGATCGATCGTGGTATCGGTAGTGAGATCGATAGTGAGGCCGATGGTGGGATCGATAGTGTGATCGAAAGTAAGATTGCTGGTGAGATCGATAGTGCACTGTATAATAAGGTCGATAGTGAGGGCAATGGTGCGATCGATGTTATGAGGTATAGTGAGATCGACTGTGTGATCGATTGTGAGATCGATCGTGATATCGATCGTGAGATCGGTCGAGTGAAATCGATCGGTTGTGATGTCGACAGTGAAATCGATAGTGAGATCGATCGTGGGATCGATTGAGTGAGACGTTGCATCCTTTTTCCCCCCGAACGTCAACTTTTTTGTTCGGGTGTCGACATTGGGCGGAAGGGGTGGGGGGAGGGGTCTGGCTATGGACCTCTGCTTAACGCGACTGTTTGCAACAGCGCGTCCTACTGGGGAGACTTCACCTGCTTGAGGCAGGCGCCGAAAACAGCCAAGATCTACTCGATTGGGTGGGGGTAGGAGGGGGTGCGAGGGCCCGCGCCGATCGGCAAAACAATGAAGAAGGAAACGATCACAACGTCCTTATCACCCGAGGTGTGATCGTACAAGTATGTAACGGGTCTTTCGGTCCCAACTTGCGGCACCTACAGGCTATAATATGCGGGTCGTGGTCTCAGTCGCAGGAGGGGCAAGGGGTGGAGAATTATCTCTGGGTTGGGGTCGCCTTCTGGGGAGGAGTTGTGGGAGGGAGGATGGTGAGGAGGGGGGGCGACATTGACGAGGAGTGGTAAGGAGGCCTAGGAGGAGGAGGAGGAGGCCTAGGAGGAGGAGGAGGGGGAGGAGGAACTGCGCAGAGTCAGCGGATGAAGAGCTCCTCAGAGGATGAAGAGCTCCTCAAGCAGGCCCAGGCGATGGCGGAGAAGGCCCCGCGACCATGCTGGGGTTGACCAGTCGCGCACCGCCAGCGCTGAGGAGGAGGAGGACGGAGGACCGAAACTAGCTTAGGATGCGCCATCGATGCTGCAACGCACCCGCTTGTCCCAAGACACGCCCTCATAAGACCCTGAAAATGATTTCTTCTCACTTGCGTGTGTGTGTGTGTGTGTGTGTGTGTGTGTGTGTGTGTGTGTGTGTGTGTGTGTGTGTGTGTGTGTGTGTGTGTGTGTGTGTGTGTGTGTGTGTGTGTGTGTGTGTGTGTGTGTGTGTGTGTGTGTGGGGGGGGCGCTTGAAAAACCCGGGTCCCATGGGCTTGCCATTTAAGCGAGAGACCTGTCTTGAGCAGGAGCTGTAATGACCGTGGCGTTGCCCTAGGTTGACCATGTTGTAGGAGTGTGCAAAAAAGGTAGTGCAATAGTCATCTGGGAGCCCATAAGAAAAATACAATTCCGGGAACTCCTTGGTTCTTTTCCATGGAACCAGAAAAAACCCAACGACTACAACACCAAGTCGAAACGGCGACGTCCATCTATCCACGTAATTGCTTCATTGACTAACGCTTCTGGCTATGAAACCTGAGGACGTACTAAGCGAGAAACATAGGGTCAGAAGGAACCGCCCGCCACCCTCGTACCCAATGTCAAGGCGAGGACTTACTCTGAAAAGGGGCCGCCCTCTATCCACGTAATTGTTGAACATCTTGAGGACGAATGCCTGCAGCGCTAGGGTGCAAGCACCATGTTGAAGCTGCGCCATTCTTCGTCTGCGTAGCCGGTGGACACTTCAATGTGCAGGCTGGGAAATCATGGTTGAGTCTGTGTCTGAGGAGCTCTTACGATTGATGGAGCGACGAGGAGGGGTCGCGTTTGATGGGAGGGGGAGGAGGAGGAGGAGGAGAGCGGGAAAGATGGCGAGGAAGGGGTAGGGGAGGAGAAAAAGGAATGGATGAAATCGGATGAGGAGGGGGAGGAGGAGCTAGATTTGGCGGGTGTGAAAGTGAGACGGAGGAGGGGATACGTGAGGAGAAGAAGAAGGATGAATAAGGAGAGGAGAAGGAGGAGTACGAAGGTAAGGAGAGAGAGAGGGAAAGAAGAGGCGGAGGAGGGGTAGCAGGAGGAGGGCCAGGAGGAGAAGGAACAAATGAGGAGGGAGGTACGGAGAGGAGGAGGAGGATCATCATAATGAACAGGTAGGAGGACGAGGGAGGGGGAAGATGAGGAGCGAGGTGTGAATCCGTCAATGCCCTGGAGGTC